TCCTTTGGATCTCTAGTGAAGCGATGTCAACGTGATGTCATGTTGTCTATATGGTTTCACTTAGCTACATCAATATGAATCATACCACATGTAACAACAAAAGAGACATGGAAAGGCACTTTTCTGTTTTCCTTTTCCATTTAGCTGTCTGATGATCCTGTGTCTGTGCATGTCTTCATTGATGTTACAGGCTCTGTAATATAGCTTAGAAGCGGACTGGTACCAATAACAAAAAAAATGGTATTATCTCCTTTCTATTCATCCAGCAGCAGTGAGCCGCCACAACAAGCCTCTACCACCCCAGACGGAAGAAATCTAATATTAAAAATACATTCAAAATTAAGCCTATTCTTCCAAAGTAAGTAGGGTACCAGTGTACGGAGATAGTGCTTTTGTAATAAAAAAATTATCCAAATATGAACAGTTCCAGTGTTCACAACTGGCACAAAGGAGTTGAAGGCAAAACTCAAATGATTCCATACTCACCAGTGGAATATAAAACAATTAAACTGCAGCTGTGTACTGGCATTGATGTATTGATTTTATAAGGTGGGATTTATTTAGCATTGCAGCATTTAACTCACCAGGATGATGAAGCCATAGCTCCAAAATAATCTTGAGATATTAATCTGTCTGGTGATGAATGGGCTGTTTGGCTTGCAACCTCAAACAGAAAATATTGGCTGTATTAGTATATCTCACTGTGTGTGTGTTCTGACTGTTGGTCTCCAGTCTTGCCACATCTTTCCTCCACATATTTCCTCCTCTGTCTCTCACCACTCTCTCCTGATATCCCCCTCTCCCTCTCTCTGTGTGTCTCTCTCTCCCTCACACACACATAAACACACACAGTCTATAATTTCCACTGTGCTAGTTGAGGATCATGCACTCATGCTCTCAGGTCTTTGTCTCTGACTGTGGGCTAGTGCCGCTTCAATGAACCACATCTGTTTTTCCTCTGCCTTTCTCTCCACGTCTTCCTCTTCTTCTTCGACCTGCTCTCTCTCTATTTCTCTCTCTCTCTCTGTCTCAATCGTCTTCTCTCTCAATTTCCCCTCAATTTCCCACTTGTCTATTTTCCTTTGTCTTCCATTCCCAAGAGATGGAGGGATGGCGGTGGGAAAAACCCACAGAAAATGGTATTTCCTAGGATGGTCTGATAGT